GCTGCATATTTTTTTGAAAGCAACAATGTGTTTTTTTATATTATTTTATGTATAAAAGTATTAAGATAAGATTCCCGAAAATTGAATGTTTTACAAGATATTTTGTATTTTATGTCAAAATGCTGTAACACTTTCAAGCTTCATAACTAGAAAAGTACTTAATAAAAAATAACTTCAATATAGTGTTTCGGAAATGTCTTGACACCAGCTTTAAGAATATGTAATAGAAAATAGAAGTTTCCATTTAAGATTTCAAAGTTGACCTTTGCGATGTCCTTCAAAGTCACATAAAGGTCATTTCAATATAACCACTAATATTATGTTCCGCAATCAATTTAATGTTTTTAAATAGAAGTTTGATATTATGTTTATTAACATAAAGTTAACAGTTTATCTCTAAGGTGTTTATATGTATAAATATATAAAATTAATATAATTTTTTTATATTTCAGAATTTAAAAAGAAGGTGCACATTAAGAACGTTTGGTATAAAGTTTGGCTGCTGTGCGCCGATACAAGGCTGCTGTGCGCCTGTAAAGACCGGTTGCTGTGCGCCGATACAAGACTGCTGTGAGTCTGTAAAGACCGGCCGGCTGCTGTGCGCCGATACAAGGCTGCTGTGCGCCAATACAAGGCTGCTGTGCGCCTGTAAAGACCGGCTGCTGTGCGCCCATACAAGGCTGCTGTGTGCCTATAAAGACCGGCTGCTGTGCGCCCATACAAGGCTGCTGTGCGCCTATAAAGACCGGCTGCTGTGCGCCCATACAAGGCTGCTGTGCGCCTATAAAGACCGGCTGCTGTGCGCCCATACAAGGCTGCTGTGCGCCTATAAAGACCGGCTGCTGTGCGCCCATACAAGGCTGCTGTGCGCCTATAAAAATTGGCTGCTGTGCGCCTACAAAAATCGACTGCTGTGCGTCTGTAAGATTGTTGTGGGCCTGTAAGAATATAGAAAATATAGAATAATTTTAATAATATTAATAAAACAAAATGTCTATCAAAATAGAAAAACAGATGATGTTAAAATCAGATACAAAAAATATTATTGTTCAAGGTGATTAGGTTAAACGATAAACATATGGATCATTTTAACC